AAAAATAAATTGCAATTCCAATGTAAGTATCTATTTTTACTTGTGTAATTGTTAGGCTAATATCCTTTTCTAAGTTATTATTACATATTACTATTACTTAATTGATTATCTACTGAAGTGTTAATTGCATAGTTGATTAAAAGTTATTGTTATTAAAATAAAAGAAAAAGTTTATAATTTACAGTAGTTTGAAACTGCCTACGTATTCTTATTAACAGATTTAAAATATATATAAAGAACAGTATACTTTGATTTCTTTCTCTACTGGAAGTTGCTTGGCTTAATTCTAGCACGAGTCACTATAGGATACAAAAATCCTGGTTAACATGCCATGTGAGAAACATAACTTTCTGTATTTCTTGCCAGTGTTACCTTATGTTCTGCTCTTATTCTGCAGCCAGTGTTTAAATGGAAGCTGCTTCTGGGATCTGGATGGTTTTTACTGACACAAACGTGGCATAGCAGCTCCATCACATCAGGAGGTTGCAATGAGTGGAGGTGGGGAGCAGCCTGACATCCTCACTGTGGGAATCTTGGTCAAAGAAAGATGGAAGGTGGTAAGTATGTCTTCCTGCAATTCTTTTTCATTTTTAAAAATACTCCTGTTAGGATTTTCAATCCAATTAGCTAGTGATTATGTCAACCATTTTGGTAACCAATCAAGCATTCTATTTCAAGGCTGCCAGCAAAAAAAAAGAGTATCATGCAAATTTCATTTCTGCAATAGCAATTCTGTTGCACTCAGCGCGTGTATTTAAACATATTTCATAATCTAGCATAAAATAATTATTGATTATTTTTGCTGGGATTCTTGAAGTAACAGCAAAATTTGCTTGAGCAGGAAGATGAGGTGGCGTAAGGCAGTGGACTTCAAGATTTTGTATGAAGAATCACTGACCCCTATTAGTGCTCTCTCCGATTGTTCCTTGTGGAGTTCTCTGATATCCTGCTTTTTCTCTCCCCATTGAAGATTGACAACCCTGCAGTTCGATTGCATGAGAATGTCCTATTGCAACCACTTTAAAAATAAATAATAAATAAATATGTGCACATTCTGCAAATTATATGTAGATTTGTGGCCAGAGTAGAACTGAGAATTTTCGCTGCTCAGGATTTTGTTTTTTTTTAATAATAAAATCACATCTGGAGTTTTTGAACATGACCATTTTTTAAACCTATGCTCAAATTTTATTTTATGTAGATATTCTTCATAAAAATTCTAGTTTGGGAAGTAAACATAGGAAAGATCTTATAAAAGTTTGTTCTTCTCTGTTTCACTCTCTCTGCCAGTTTCAGTTAGTGTGGCTCCCTGTATCAGTGCCTTTCTAGTCCCTTTTCTTTGCCTTTGGAGCTGGAGAAATTGGAATGTAATTATAGTTTTTTATAGGTAGGTTTAAGACCATAATTTGGTGCGCAGTATAACAAAAAGCCCAAAGAAAAAAAAATTGGAGTAGATGTACTTAAGGCTTGAAGCGTAGGAGGAGAAGAACAGTGGAGAAGAGGATGGAGAGAATGAGACAAGAGATGCTGAATGCAAAGATGGGAAGTGTGAAACTCATGTGCAGAGTGGAAGACTGTGGTGTAGATGTGAAAAAGTGCAACAGCACCCTTGTCAAGGTAGAAGACATTGAGTAGATGTAGCAGGATACCAGTATAAGCAAAAACTTCTGTCTTAACTCAAAAGCAAGATGTTTTTGAAGAGAAGGTGAAAAAGTGGCTGGGCTGCCTGAAAGGAAAATGGAATTTAAGAAAACTGGAGTTCAGCCTGCAATTGAAACTTGGGAGATATATGAAAAGCAATCGAAAGACTTCTATAGGAATGTTGGCAACAAAAAGAAGACCAAGAAAAGTGTGCCCTCATTGCTTAATTTCGTGTGTGACCTAGTGAAAAGGAGGTGAAGAATGATTTTTCTGTCATCAAAGAGAAGTTTATTTGTGCCTGAAATTATTGTGTGCCATGATTATTGGATGCATGTTAATGATTCTGGTGTACTTCATCTGAGGACAGAAATTGATCTGTTTATTAATATGGACGCTTGTTTGTTTATTTTAGCCCACAAGCACAACAAAAAGCCTTTCAGAGGCAGTCTTTCCCTGTCTGGCCATGTCTCAAAGCTGATAAATTGAAATTACGTGATTAACTGCTCTAAGTCTGTAGAAGTGACAAAGGTGACTGTATCTCTATCCTGTTTCACCTTTCTAATGTGCATTTTCACTGTCCCCGCTGTACTTAGATTAGTGCTTATGCTGAAAACTGCAGTCAAATAGACAAATACGTTTAGCTGTTTGAGCCTGAGCAGATAGGTAGGCGGGTTAGTTATGAAGTCTTAATGTAATGTGCTGTCTACACAGTGCATGTTTTTAGCGGTGACAATGAGAGACTAGAAGTGAAAATTGCTAGGTAGTATTTAGTATGCCGTAGTCATATAACCTTAGCAAATCTACATTTTCAAATGATGGTTAGAAAATCATGTCATTCATTTCAAGATAAAATATATTAAAAAAATTAAAATGAAAAGTAAGCCCTAAGGACTTTTTCTACGAGTCCTTAGGATAAGTTCGTTTTGACTCGTTTTCTCCTGTATCAGTTGAACAATGGTAGCTACAGGAGACTTCACAATATAAGAACATTGAATGAAATAGCATTGACATTTTGATACTAAAAGAGACAGGTCTTTGTCTCTTATGAGCAGAGTTAAAACGCAACTATCAATATCTGCTCTGAATGTAGTGTATGCCAGGAGCATTCTTTTTGCTTCCTCCTCAAACAGATGAATTTTCTATTGGTACCTGTTCCTTTAATATATCTGATAATAAGAATGGTGTTAGTGAACACCATTCTTATATAAGTAAATAAGTAACATTTAATATATGTATTCAAAGATAATCTTAGCCATTTTTAGTCATGTGTAAATCATTTCACTGAATAGAAAATTCTGTCTTTTTGTAGTAACTCCCAGGAAGTTTTGTACCTTTAGTATTCAGTGCTTATATTTCTGAGGGGAAGATAGCTTATTTTAAAATGTCACTGTACATTTGTTTTTTGAAGGTCTGTGGGTAGCATATGGCTATTTGAGGAAAGCTTATATTCAGCATGCTGACTTTGGCCAGATTCATGCTGGGAGTTGTATTCTTATATTGTGTGAAATTGAGGAAGTTTAGTGCAGATAGGTATTGTGTGTATTAACTTGTCTGCCTAGGATTCTCTTCCAAATTTTATGCAGTTAACCATATATTTGTAGTTTTTTCAATAGCTCTTTCCTTCGTAAAGGGTACAATTATATTAATCTAAAATCTAGAATAATAGTGTTTGCAGTTTGGAAGACAGTTGGAAGAAGTGTTGCTGTTTTGTTTCTTTCTGTTTCTGCTCCTCCTTTTCTAATCTGTTTTTTTTTTTTTTTCTCCAACATAGCTAAGGAAAATAGGAGGTGGAGGATTTGGAGAAATTTACGATGCATTGGACTTGCTTACCCGAGAGAATGTGGCACTGAAGGTCGAGTCAGCTCAGCAGCCAAAGCAAGTGCTGAAAATGGAAGTAGCTGTGTTGAAGAAACTGCAAGGTAGGACTGTACCTCTGATATACAGGAAGTAGCATGTCAGTGTATCTGTTAAAAAAGAATTAGAATAACAACGTAGTCGTAGTTTGAGTAAGTACTCTCCATGTTGTCTAAGTTTTTAATTATTCAGCCTCTGGAAGTTTTGCTACAATGAACCTTTTCTTTGAAACAGGATGAAATGAGAAAAAAAGATGAAAAATAAAATTGCTTTCAGAACCTGTGTTCAGCTGTACTTTATTCTGGATCTGTTTGCTCTCTTTATCTTTTTTTGCTCTAGATTTTTTTTTTTTTTTTTTTTTTTTTTTGTGTACAGAAAAAGGAGACATTTAAAAAGAGGAAACAAAAATACCGATTAGGCATTGAATTGCTGGTCCTTCATGTAGCACCAGTGATAAGAATGCTCCTATTTCTTTTTCTCTTGTCAGTTCTCTTGCAAAGAGTTTTCTAAGCTTGAAATTGGAAGCATAATTAAAAAAACAACAACAGTGTACGGGAAACAAGAAACAACAACAACAGTAATAAAAATCAGCCCCAAACCACAAATTTTAAATCCTGTAACTCATAGAAAAAGTAATTATTAGTATCTAGAATACTTCTAGGGTTCAGTTCCTTGACTATTCAGAATTGTGGCTTTGGGTACTCACTTCCAATGTACCTTTTAATACTCTGAGGTCTGAAGCTAGTAGCACAAGTAAGTGTGCAAAGGTGTCTCTTCACTGCTTTTCACAATATTTGAATAAAAGGAGTGTTTAAAAAGTGACTTTTTTCTTTAAACAATTTATTCTGAATCTGGAAGACTGTGACTAATCTGTTGGTCTCTGTCAGCAGCCAGATTTTTTCTGAACTCTGAGTTCGAATAAAACAAAATCTGCATGACATATGGTGCTGCCTAATCAGCTGTAAAGGTCACATTGCTACAGAAATTGACAGCCTCTATAGATTTAAGAGGGCAAGTATGTCACGTGTGATAGTGTTAACAAACTGTTCCTATGTTCGTATCTTTTTAAAGAATTTCACAAAAACATCTATTAATACACAGCTGAGTAAGAAGATTCAGGGAGTCTGTATTAGTTTTCTTTGAACATCAGCATTAGTCTAGCGATGTAACTTTAATACTAGTTGAACAACTTGAATTTTAATTCGAAATACTATATTGGAACCTTCTAATTTGAATTTAAGTACAGTGAATTTTGAGTTCAGTGGTTACAGAGGTTCTTTTTTTTCATTGAAAACTTTTAACTTCTTTACCTTTTTTGCCTGAAATGGCAAATATTGCTGTAGGACCTTACAAAACTTATAATATTTTGTGTCAATCTTACTTTGGGAATTTAACTCACTAATTCTACTGAATCTTAGTAAATGCTGTCTAGATGCAAAAAACCGAGTAATGACACCTGAACAACAGATCCGCAGAGGCAAATAATTCACATATATTATGCAAATAAAGACCTCTCAGGTTTTGTTAATTATTTTCTCAATAGTTATTGAAATAATTGGAAGTTTTTACATAAATGAAAAACTGATTTAATGAAAGTACTTTAGAAGACACTTTTTTTGACAAACCTTCCTTATATGAAAACAATCTAAATAATATTATTTGTTTACTTTTTTAATATTTAATTGTTCAGCTCCTTATTTTTAAAAATACAAAACAAACAAACAAACAAAAAGAAGGCTGTGCTTTTATGATAATAATGCAGGAAGTGACCGTTAGTTATTGCTGTTCAGGCTGCACAATACAGTGCAGCTGCTCTGACTTTAGGTGACGAATGTTGTGGGTAATCAGGAAAGTGACTTTGGTAACTGACGAGACAAAGATGAACTTTATGGTAATGTTGAGATCTATATTTCACACAGATACGTAGGTTGATTTTTGTGTGAGTGTATTTTTATCTGTACTTGATGGATTTTATCAAATGGGATGTTGAATTATGGTAGAGCAAACCAGTTTACAGAAAATCTTGATGCTTAGGAGCCATTTCCATTAAGTTTTCTACCTTCGTAAGTTTTCAAAATGCTAAAAATCTGTTGGAGAAAGAAAACCAAGAAAAATGGATAACATGGGGAGTAGAGAAAAACTTATTGTAATTGCTTCCCAAATAATATATGTTTTGTTTCTTGTATGGTATTTTTTTCTTATTTTTGATTATTTTTTTTTCTTCCATAGGCTAACAGATTTAGAAAATGTGACATTGTAGACAATTAGTTTAGGATACTTTTGTTACTACCTTCTAATAGCAAATGTGCAGTGTCAAAGCAACTTTTATCTTGTTCTATCCCTTTTTGCCACATGTCAATATAAGTATGTATGTGTATTCTGTTCCCAAAGAGCTCATGCTGTCTTACTTTCAAGGTGTTGTAGATACTTTGAAGATAAATCAGATGGAATGTAACTGTCATGAAAATCCTTTTCTTGCACATATTTGGAAGGATTCCTCTGTGACTAGTAGGTAACGAAAGGCATGGTGTTGCCCCACTGTTAGTGTAAGGTGACATTGTTTAGAACTCTCATGATGTATGGGACTGATTTATTTAAAAATACGTATAATCTCATATATTTTCTGGGAAAATTAGGAAGAAATAGGCTTAAGGAAACAAATAGGTGTAATGTGTCCCAATCCAGCCAAGCAAATCTTTCAGTCTTTACTAGAACTGTACACGTTCTCATGGTTATGATGATGCTTTAGAGCATTTCTGTACTAGAATATTATTTCACAGCAACTGTGAAACTGAAATGAGCATAGCTGTTGGCAGAAGTGCAGGGCTGTAGTATTTTTTTTTCTATTATTTTTGCTTTGAGACATTTTGAAAATTAAAGCAGTGTGGTCATTCTTTGCAGGAGTGAAATGAGTCATAACTTTGTAGATATGCAGTGAAGTGAATAATAAAAAACTTCAAAGAAACTCTTATAAGACCCTGGTCTATCAAAACATGCTTGAATATATGAGTAGCTGTATGATTTATCTCATAATTATGTGGGAGGAGTATGTTGACTGATACGGCCATCTATTACAGTTCAGTTACCAATAGTTTCCTTCATTTATTTGGTTATTTACTTTTTCATGCCTATGATGCTGTCGCTTAATTCTTGTTGGCAGAATACTGTTTAACTCTTTAAATACGGTTTTTTAAAAGAAATCTGCTGCAACAGATGGTTGTTCTATTTAATCATGTTGTTAGGCCATCTGTTCACACAGTCAGATCAGAGAAGACAGATTTGTCGTATCTCACTCAGCGAGAGTGAGACTCCCTCAGTTGGTTTCTGTCTCACAACCTTACCGACTCTTATCTCACTCATTTACATCTCTGCAGCATAATTTGATGATTGGTTCCCTCTGGTGTGGTCCACAAAACTAGCTGTAGCGATACAGTGCAGCTTAAGGAATGGTTGTTGGTGCTCTCTGGCTAGAAATCTTTCCAAGGCCATAGCCATTTGCTGCAGCCTACTCATGTTTTTTTTCCTCACTCGTCTCCAGTCACAGGCTCACAGATGTTTTATACTTAGAGAAAAGGATCTCAAGGTATCTGCAAAGGTGTAATAGGTGCACAATGTTACACTAAAGTGTAAGAGAATTAGGTTATTTGAATAATGTGTTTAGGCCCTACTTCTGCCCTTTGTCACTTCTTCAGTTTTTTAATGAAAGTTAGTTTCCAAAGAATTTACCACACAGTTGGAATTGAGGCTTCAGATGAAAGGGATTTACTTGGACAAACCAAGTTTTGGACACTTACTGGAGTTCTTAGATAAGTCTCACCATGAAAAAGTGGACTGATGTGGTTCTCTGAACTTGTTACTTCAGCATATCCACAGTGACGGTAGAGTGAGTCGTGAATGTTTGAGATATGAATTCACTAACTGGAAATGGAAGCAATGAATATACAAAACTTCATCTTGAGAAATGTGCTGTAAATCTTTCATAAAACTGTGTTGTCTGTGCTGCTTTCCATCTCACTTAAATGAGTGGAAGAAATAGAAAAAGCAGTGTTATTGTTTAGCACTTATGTATTTGTAGAAACTGTAGAGATTTCTTTCAAAATCAGTTTAGAAATTATTTTGAACCATGAGATTTTTTTGTTTCTTTGCTTGTTTTTAAATAATTATGGTTAAATGGTGTTTGGCAGGGAGCTTCCTGGGGAGCTATTAAGTAGGAACCTGTTCTGTCAAATGAGCTGGAAGTATTCAGAAGTTGTAAAACTAAGTTCTAGGGTTTTGTCTGAGCTTTTCTTGTTACTTACTAGGAATATGAAAGAGAAAAAACACATATTTTCATTATTATTGCCTAATTTGTTTCTTCTTATTCTTCCTTCAGGAAAGGATCATATCTGTAGATTCATTGGATGTGGAAGGAATGACAGATTTAACTATGTGGTCATGCAGTTGCAGGTAAGTGTACCAAACAAAGCTCAAATGTTTGCTTGTGTGATTTGTTTTATTACCCAAACATGAAAATAGTATGAAAACAGTACAATTTTAGAGAATAGCAAATGAAAATAAAACAATTCAAATTTAATAAGTAGTAGGGAGCTAACTTAAATTGACCCTCTTCTTGTATCGTTATCTTTCATATACTCTCAAAGAGGAGAAAGTTTCCACCATTAGAAAGGTTTGATTATTGAAAGGAAGAGGTTTTCTGTGATAATGCACATTCGTTTAAAGACTTCATTTGGAGGTAGTCTAAAATATAGTATGCCTGTCTTTGTTAGCATTTTTGGATGAAAGTTTAAAAAACAAAAAAACAACCAACAACTCTTCGCAAGTGTATAAAAAAAAAAAAAAAGGATAAAATATGTGATTAATACTTAAAATTATGATATTGTGGTTCTGCATCATCTTGATTAATATGAATGGTGGATGAAGAAGTGGCTGGCCCTAGTGGATATGATACTGGAGAAAGAAATGAGCTGTTAGTCATATTCTTGATTGTTGGTTATTTTGATAGACCAATGGTTCTTTGATGTCATAGGAGTGTATTTAGTGCATTATATGAATGTTTTTCATCTGTTTCATTAAATCATCTAAGATATATTAACTAATTAAGTAAATTACATACTTTTCCATAAACAAATGAATGTAAAGTTGTCTTTGTGGGTATTTTCTCTCTGACTTTTTTTCAAGTATCCTTGATGGAGAAATATGTGTGCTGTTTTCTAGAGATTATTTTGGTCCATATTATTTAGCTGTAGATACTAAAGATACTAAAATTAATATTTTTAAAAATAATTTGTAAATTTAATATTGTAGATATTTGGGAACATCTGCTCATTAACTATGTTATTCTTGAATATGAAAACAAGTAATAAGAATATTCTGTGGTCAACCACTATAGCTAAAGATGTGATGGGAAGACTTTATGTTGTCAGTGAATGTTGATATTGGGTTGTTTCGTTTTGATTTGTTTTTTTTAAATGTCCTTTTAATTTGTCAGGGTCGAAATTTGGCAGACCTGCGTCGGAGCCAGTCTCGGGGAACATTCACAATTAGTACCACTCTGCGGCTTGGGAGGCAGATCTTGGAATCTATTGAAAGTATTCACTCTGTAGGATTCCTGCACAGGGACATAAAACCGGTAAGTCTGACCATTAAAACAACACAGGCAAATATTATGTGGATGTTGGATGGCTGTGGAAATAAGAATGTGTTCTATTCTACAAGGGTGGCTGCAAAGGTAATGCCTCCCATTTTATAATATTGGCGCATGACATCAGAGGTGAACATCACTGATGTGGCAGTAGAGGTTGAACCTTCCCACCACTACTCCATTACTTTTTGTTGCCATGCTACAGATGGCAGCAGAGGGGCAGTTTGACAAAATGGTGGCTGACATGAAAGTGTGTGTGAAGCAAAGTGTGTAATTGAATTCTTCCATGCAGAAGAAATTGTACCCGTTGACATTTATTGATGTTTGCTGAATGTTTATGGAGACCAAACAGTGGATTTTATCACAGTGGTGCATTTCAGCAGTGGTGACAATGACATGAAGGGCAAGTCATGTTCTGGATGGCCATGCATGGCTGTCACACCATGAAATGAAGAAAGTCTCAATCGGCTCACCCACACAAATCACCAGATTATGACAAGGGAACTGTACAGAGCTGAACTTCAACTTCAATGTATTAGAAATGATGTTGGCAACACTGGAATATTGCAAAGTTCATGCCATGTGAGTCCCACGAATGCTCATACAGGAAGAAAAGTACGCTGTATGTGATTTTGTCATGACCTACTCAACGAATAAGAAGCTGAAGGTGATGGTTTCTTGGATTACATCATTACTGATGATGAGGTACAGCATCACCACTATGAGCTGGAATTAAAACAGCAGTCCATGGAGTCGCAACATGAATTTCTTGTTGAAGAAACAGTTCAATATACTGCCCTCAGCAGGTGGTAGAATGATGTGTATTGTGTTAGGATAGGAAAGGGGTGATCCTTCTGCATTTCCTGGAGCCCAGACAAACCATTGATTTTGAGCACAGCGTCATGATGCTGACTAAGCTGAAGGCTTGAATTTCCCGAGTCTGGCAAGAGAAGAAGACAGTATTTCTCTTGAAGCATGATAATACCAGGCTCCATACCAGTATGAAGACTCTGGGGCACATTGCCATTCTTGGCTGGACTGTCCTACCCCTCCCCCCCCCCCCCCCACTGCATAGTGAGGATTGGCACCTTCTGACTCAAGTCTGTTCAGGCAGATGAACAATGGACTCCATGGGCAACCTTTTTGTAGCAAGAGTGATCTCATAGCAGCTTTGATATAGTGGTTTATCTCCATTGGGACAGATTTTTACAAGCACGGGATGCAGATTCTAGTACCTGTTGTCATTTCCACTGAAATAAATGAGGCATTACTTTTGGAATGATCTGTGTGCATGATAAAAGGGAAAAATGAGAAAGAATAGAAAACTAGATGCTTATTTACCAGAGTAGAATTTTTCTATTAATTAATGTTGTTTTGCAGTGACAGTAACTTGTTCTTTTTCACCACTGCCTTGAGTACTTAGACCTCCTTGCAGTTGCCCACAATTAACACTTACAGCTCTTATCTGTAGAGTGTTCATGTGTTGATCACACATATGTCAGTACATGGTTTCGATTGATTTTTACCCTCCATCTCTGAAATGGAGCAATGCTTATATGTAAATATAAATACGTAATTAGGTAGATTTTGGGGGGAAAACCCGAACAAATGAATTTGCCATTGTAGCTTTGTGTTTTTCATCAGAGAGATTTTCTGTTCTTGAAACTTTGCTTCAAAACTTGTATTTTGCAGTTTACTAAAACAGTCAAACTTTAGGAGATAGCATGTTGTATAATTGCGTACTTCTAATGAGAAGCAAGCAACAAGCGTTTCACCTTTTTGGAATGTTGCAATGATAAGTCTTCCAGTGTGGATCTTATCTATTATAACCTTTCAAATTCATCAAACTGAAGCTTTAAGCAATTCTATACATTAAAAGAAAAAACAATTGAGCAACCTTCCCTCCTAAGAAATACTAGTTGCATTGTTCAAAGGGATTCCTAAATGTTCCTTTTATCTTGTTACAGTTCTGCGTATTTTTTGGCTTCTGTTATGTATTAATGGCTGGTACTGTTAAGGTGGAATCAATGCATTTTTCTCCAACAAGATTTTCCATCAATCAATGACATTACTTGATGTGCATTCCTCCCTGCAATTTCTCATTGCGATAAGAGTTGTTTAGCATGTCTAGCTCATCTCTGGCTTCCCTGCCCCTTCCATGATTTTCTATCTAGGTAAAAATTAGGAAGTGTTTTGAAAAGAGCTCCCTTGTCCAAAGGTATATTTTTATTTCAACTTTTTAGCTCTGAATGGTTATACCAATAAGCAAATAATCACTTTCCTATTTTGTTTTCTTTCCCTTGTAATAGCTATGGGTTACTGGCAAAAAGAGTTCAGGAAAGTAGTACATGTATCATTAATAATCAACTAGGAAGTTGTGCTCTTTGCTGTAGCAGTGGAATCTGATACAAAAGATTCCTGTAGATTCCTGTATATTGCCTATTTGCTATTTTCTGGAATCTCTACTTTTTCTTTCACGAAAGTGACAGATTAAAGTTTGATTATTTGCTACTGCCTTGTGATATTTTGCAGCATATTTTGAAAACTCAAGATTGCAATGTAACTACTCAACCTTTTTTGTTCTTCTGGTGCAAAGATACATTTGTGACCTTTTTCAGGTATTATTCTTTTCGGATTTGCATGAGATACATTGTTCCCCAAGGCTCTGATTTTTTCCCAAAGATAAGTGAAATCCAGTCTGGGTTCTAAAGGACTTTAAGTACTGCGAACTCCCTTAACACAAAAACAAAAGTAGTTTTTCTAGAGTTAACTTGGTGTAACTTCCATCTTGCTCAGATGTATAGTTTCAGTTTCATGTTGCAGAATCATTTCATGTTCTATCTTTTTTTAATGTTATGTAATTTGAGGGGATTTCATGGGAGATAGATTTGAAACAATTCAGCCAATGTGTTGGGGTTTTTTACAGGTTTAATGTGGAATGCTAATCCAGAGAGACAAAAAATTACTTCAGAATGAATTGTCTCCATAAATCCTCATGACTTTCCAGCTCTTACTGATTTTAAGTTTCCTTCTCTCAAGTAAAAGAAAAAACGTTTGCACTCTTTATTCTGTATTCCTTGTATATGTTAGTAGTGCATTTGTTTAGGTGACCTTGTTAACTCATAGATCAGTAGGGTTTTTTCTTGTGGTTTTTTTTTTTTTTTTTTTTTTTTTTTTAAATGCTCGGATCAAAAAATATGAACTAGTGAGGTGGATGGAAAATTCTTGCTAAGAATGTGTGGTCTCTAAGTAATAAGGTCAGGCAACAATCTATTTGGGCCTTCTAATCTGTGGTTCAGATATGGCAAACTGAGTGTCTGATGTTCTTAATGTTTTCTTCAAATTCTATAGGAGTATAAAAGAACTGAAAACATGAAAGGAAAGGTAGAGAAGTAGAACATGGATTTTCTGTGACGGTGTAACTGTTAGTATGTACACATTAAAATATATATACCTGTGTATATATTATATATTGTGTATATACGTATTGTATATAAAATGTATATCTGTATTTGTTTTTCTTCCTAGTCTAACTTTGCAATGGGACGTTTTCCTAGCACCTGTAGGAAGTGTTATATGCTGGATTTTGGCTTGGCACGACAATTTACGAACTCATGTGGGGATGTCCGACCAGTAAGATTCTTTTCAAAATTATCAATTGTTGATGTGATTAATTAAATGTGGTAATACACCGTTTCTTTTTTTCCTGGAGAAGTGTATGAATGGCATTGAACTGGTTGCTTACATAAACTTGACAAGCATGATCCCAGATCAGAAATGCCAGCTGATGTATGGGTTATGTTAAAAGATTGGCAGTTAGAGATGAATCTTGTTTCTGGTTTGAAACGCAGCCTACTCCATGATTTTTATGGGTAGTGAATCATTTGATTTGTGAAAACAAATCTGTATCAGAGTAGTGTATCAGCTCTGAATTTCACTTGGTAATGCATATTCTGTATTACAGAAAAAAATACGAGCAGGAAAAAAAACCAGTGAACTGAATAGTCTTGTGAAAGGGAATGTCTAAATAATTAAAACAGTGATAGGACACTGATTATAATATTAGCAGGACATAGCTAAGTGTTTTTGGTATTTGTTAATGTGATGCAGTTGGGAGAAAATTGTTGAGAAGAGAATATAAATGAGGACATTACAATTTAAGTACAGTAGAGCCTCCCTAATTCTCTGGTGGGAGTCCTTTCAAAATTTCCAAGTTTCAAGTCAGTATCGTGATACATGGCAATGTTTAAATGAAAAGTATTGTCTTTATTGATTTAATTTGTTTTTATAATAATGAATACTGTGCTGTTGAATGATTCATTGACTAATGAATAGTCAATATTGTGTATTGTATTTATTAATGTGGAACAATGTGAGTGATAGAATCTACCTGTACAGGATTTTCAATTTGATTTTTCCTAAGGAGTTGGGAAAGTGGCAAATTTTTGTGTGCAAATTATGAGGTGTGTGAATTAGGAAGGTAAATTAGCGAGGTTCTGCTGTACTCTATTCCTTCAGCCATAATGCTGGACACTGCAATGAAAGCAAAGAGCAGGGGAGACCAACAGAGTGGCTGCTGCTGTTGGAAAGGTGAGCTAAACAATTTAAGTAGTTTTACATTTTTTTTTCTATTTATCAGTGTTCTTGTCTTCCGTATGTTTGTCTGCTTATAATGTTTTTTTTTAAACAGACCTTAATTTTGAAAATAAAGCAATTCCCAAGATTCTGTAATTTCAGTGTGTACACAGGAACACGCACAGTGGTACTACTTTCAGAAAGCGAGTAATAACAGATATTATTATAATATTTCTGCTTTTTTTGGTAACGACACAACTCTAGCTTTTTGTTTTTCATTGCAGTGCCCTACAGTGTATCTGAAGTAATTATTCAGCTTAATCTATCTATAATTTTCAGACGAATCTATTATAACTTTCAAGGGTACGGTTCAAAGCAGTCAAGTTTGTTAGGACTGCATTTTCCTCCAGAAATCACTGACCATCTGCACTGGCTAATGTTAGCATTTTGATTCTTCAGTGTTTTTGGTACTCGCTGTATTTTTTATTACCCTGAGGTGTCATATGTAGACAATCTTTTTAAAGCCCAGAGGAGCAAGCAGTTTACAGCTTATTTCACTATTCTATTCCATAGTAGGATTTGCAATAGCATGATTTTCACCTCTGTTATAGATTACAAAAAATGACCTTCATTTGTTTTGCAGCGGGCTCTATGACTGGTTTTTGAAGGTTAAAAAAAAAAAAAAAAGACTTGAAGGAGGTGTATTGTACTGCTTGTCCATCAAGAATATGATGGAATCTATGTTTGCCTGGATCTTATGTTGACTGCAAATACTTTTGAGATACAGGTGTAGGTGGAATTAGGATGAAGAGTATGGAAATTCTGGGAATAGTCTATGACTGTATAGGCTTCTGAAACACATTTTTCTTGTTAAGATGGTACTAGGATGCAAGTATTTTGTGTAGATATAGAATGAAATTCTATAATGTAGGTTAATAGGACAACATGGGATTGGTGGCAGGAACCTTTTTTGGTAACTGAAAAGATTCAAAGAGTGAAAAACGCATCTGGAAAGTAGAACAAAAGTTGCTGGAGATTATATAGGCTGTTATGGAAGGAGCAAATGATTTGGAGAATAAATTGCTAGAGAAAGGGAGGAAATGAAAATTTGAATCAATAGTATAGATAAGAAATGACTATTGCAAAGTGGGGTAATTAGAATTTAATTGTAGGGAGCCAGTTTCTAATCATCAGGCAAATACATTTAACACAATGTAAATTCAGTATGCTTATGCTCATGGTCTACCTCTGTTTTAATGTGAAGGTTAACTGCGAGTGTTCTTTGAGGTGCTATTAAAATTACTACAAAGGAAACAAAACAAAGGAAAAAATAAACAGCTATTCTTCACTCTCAGAAAGATTAATCTTTCTCTTATTAAGCATTTAGAAATGAATTTGAGTTCTTAATTTAAAATCTGTATATTCAACTACCAGGTACTGTCACAGATCTGTTTTTTGTCATCTCTTTTATATAGACTGTAATTTTGAAATAACAGAATTGTCTTTGTTATACAAAAAAGAGAGTGTAACGTGAAAAGCTAAGATAAAACAATTTGAAAAATATCCATGAGAAGTAGGTATCTAGGATAAAACCTTTTCATCCCAAATATCTCTGTTTTTTTTTGCTACAGCAGACACATCTTACTGACTGGCAGCATAAAGAATTACTCAAATTAACATGCAGTCCCTTGAGTCTGGTGATTTAGACTCTGCAAATGTGAATGAAGAAGGAAACTTTTTTTTTGCCCTCTGAAAGAGTGGTGTCTAGTATTGGAATGGGCTGCCCAGGGAAGTGGTGAAGTTGCCATCCCTGCAGGTGTACAAGAAATGTGTACCTGTGGCACTGAGGGAGATGGTTAAGTGGGCAGATGGACTAGATGGTACTAGAGGTTTTTTTCCAAGCATAATGGTTATATGGTTCTATTATTGTTTGATCTGTATGTTCCCTCTGAGAGTATCGGAACTAGCAAGTTAAAGGGTAGTCTAAGGAACTCTCTTTTGCCCACTTTTTGGGTCAAAGGAAGAGTTGCTCTATGAATGTTTTCCTCAACTTCCTCCTGTCCTCCCAGTGAATAGATTTTTGGTTGTTATTCAGTTGTTATTTAAACCAAATAGAAAGCTTCGAAAGAGTCCTCTTCCTCATTGGTTTATTCAGCATGACCTTAATATCAAGTGTGTAAACTTTCCAGTAATTACTTAAAATATAGATTAAAGAAACACATTAGCATATATTCAGGAAATATTTTAGATCTAAATTGCTATGTTTTATTTAGAAGTTTGAAATCTTAAACCACACCAAGCTGGAAGTTGTGATTTTTTTGAACAACTAAGAAATGTAGTACAGTTTTTCTGATAGGCTTTGCATTAAAGGAATCACAAGATTCTTACTTTGAACATCAGCAGAAGTATTTAAATCTGAAGGAAATGAGTGTCCACCAGTATTTTCTGACGAGTTATCCATGCTCTTTACTGCTACTGTCAACCACTGAGTAACAGACAGTAACAGAATTCTGAGACCTGCTAAAGCAGGAGATGCAGCAGTGGCTGTGCAGACTGACCCATAGAAAAAAGCACAGCAGGAAGAATGCGAATGCTTAGATCTTTTTATTCTCTGGGCAAATGGTTACAAAACTGTTCACATCAAACCACAAGCTGAACCACATTCAGATGTTTAGGTACAAAACCAGTTAAAGGCTGATTGTCTTTCTTTAGCGCTTTCAGGTTCTGAGGATTTTCCAGCAAGTGAATTTTTATCTTGAAATTTCACTTTTGGACAATGACAGTTTCACTTTTGGTGTCCTGGAAATTACTTTAAGGAACTGAATTCCACACAAAACAAACAAACAAACAACAACAAAAATATACACAAACCCTCCTCGAATGCTGTGCGGAGATGTGTTGCTAAATGTTAAAACCAGGCATTAAATACATTTTGAAAGCTTTCAAAGTCTATCATAGTTCAGTTAAATACAGAGAATATAGAAAGAAAATATACATTGTATATGCATAGTCTTATTTTGTATGGGTTTTTTGTTTGCTTTTCCTACTTTATGAAGATTTTGAAATGTTATGTGTTTGAATTACATGGTGTTTCTTTGTAATATTTTGGATGATTTTGATTGCTGAGGAGGACTAGAGAATGCTTCCATCTTTGCTTAAGACTTAACTTGTCTTCTTGGCATAAGAAGGTAGAGTTGTGGATTGTTTATTTCTGTGGTGAGAATGAAACGGAGTTCTTGTGGTACTGAAGGATTAAACACTGCATTGATTAAATCATAGAATCATAGAATCACCAAGGTTGGAAAAGACCTAACAGATCATCCAGTCCAACCGTTCACCTATTCCCAATAGCTCCCACTAAACCATGTCCCTCAACACAACATCCAGCCTTTCCTTGAACACCCCCAGGCTCGGTGACTCCACCACCTCCCTGGGCAGTCCGTTCCAGTGCCTGACCACCCTTTCTGAAA